TCCCTAGGGAGATCCTATCCGACAGAGGATCACAGTTTACGGCAGAGCTGACCCAGCAGCTATGGCACGTTTGTAAAATAAAGTCCCTGCTTAGCTCTCCGTACCACCCCCAGGGTTATGTGAGCAGTTCAACGGAACCCTCAAGCAGATGTTAAAAACCTTTACTCAGGAGTATAGGGACTGGGAACGTTTCCTGCCGCACCTCTTGTTCGCTTACCGGGAAGTGCCCCAGGAAACCACCAGGTTCTCTCCCTTTGAGCTGTTATACGGTCGCAAGGTACGGGGTCCCCTGAACCTGATCCGTGAGCACTGGGAGGGAGAGACCGAGAACGCTGGGGTCCCCATCGTGCCTTATGTACTGGAACTCCGGGACCGAATGGAGCAATTGGCTAAGTCAGTCCAGGCCAATCTCCAGGCGGCCCAGGGGCGACAGAAAGTCTGGTACGACCGGGGGGCACGACGAAGAAGCTTCTGTCTCGGGCAGAAAGTCATGGTACTAAAACCAGTTAAGGCAGACAAGCTACAGGCAGCCTGACAGGGTCCCTACCAGATAGTGGAAAAGAGAGGGGACACAACTTATGTAATTGCCAGCTGTCACGATGAAAACTTAAGAAAGATCTTTCACGTGAACATGCTGAAGGAATACTTGCAGAGACCCGAGGAAGTGTCAGCCATATGTAGCCCTGCGCACGAGGACACAGATAGTCTCCCCATACCCGACTTATTAACCCCTAAATCCCCGGCTGAAATAGTGAGCCAAGTACAGATTGGGGACAGACTTAGCCCAGTTGAGAGGGAGCAGCTACACAAACTGCTCCGAGAGAAACAAGCCATGTTCTCCCAAGAACCAGGGTACACTGAGCTGACCACGCACCAAGTAGATACCCCCGGCCAAAACCCCTTGAGACAGGCGCCCTACCGAATTCCAGAGGCAGTAAGGACAGGCATGAAAAGAGAAATAGATGAGATGCTGCGTCTAGGGGTCATTGAAGCTTCCGATAGCCCCTGGGCATCCCCGGTGGTTCTGGTCCCCAAAAAGGACGGCACCACCAGATTCTGTGTGGACTACTGGAAACTCAATGACAAAACTGTCACCGATGCCTACCCCATGCCCAGAGTGGATGAGCTGCTAGATCGCATAGCCAGGGGGAACTACCTAACTACCATTGACCTCTGTAAAGGTTACTGGCAAATTCCCCTGGCCAGGGAGGCTGTCCCCAAGTCGGCCTTCGTCACCCCATTCGGTTTGTACCACTTTAAGGTCATGCCGTTCGGGATGAAGAATGCCCCCGCTACATTCCAACGCTTGGTGGACAGACTCCTTGATGGCTTCCAGAAGTTTGCCTGCGCATACCTGGACGACATAGCGATCCATAGTGAGACCTGGGAGGAACACTTGGCTCATGTGGGAATAGTTCTGGACCAGATTCGAGCCGCCGGCCTGACGCTAAAGCCAGAAAAATGCCACTTTGGAATGGCTGAGGTGCAGTACCTGGGCCACCGGGTAGGCTGTGGGAAGCAACGTCCGGAGCCAGCTAAAATAGAAGCGGTCGCCAACTGGCCCACTCCCCACACTAAGACCCAAGTGTTAGCCTTCCTGGGTACCGCTGGGTACTACCGAAGATTTGTACCAGAGTATAGCGCCATTGCCAAACCCCTGACTGACCTGACGAAGAAAAACCTTCCCCGACAGGTCCTGTGGTCTCCCCACTGTGAAACTGCTTTCCAAGCCCTCAAAACTGCGTTGATTAATGCTCCTGTCTTGGCTGCCCCAGCCCCTAATCGACGTTTTATTGTCCATACAGACGCTTCCATGTTCCGGCTGGGAGCTGTCCTCAGCCAAGTAGGAGATGATGGGAAGGAACATCCGATTGCCTACATCAGTCGAAAACTCCTACCACGCGAAGTCAGTTACGCTGCAGTAGAAAAGGAGTGTTTGGCTCTGGTGTGGGCATTAAAGAAGTTAACCCCCTATTTGTATGGACAAGAGTTCACTCTGGTTACAGACCATAACCCGCTAGTGTGGCTCAACCGGGTCGCTGGCGACAATGGCAGATTGTTACGCTGGAGCTTATCCCTGCAACCCTTTAATTTTACAATCACCTACCGACCCGGGAAGCAGAACGGCAACGCCGACGGATTATCCCGGCAAACAGATCTCAGCCCAGCATAACTCTACAAGTCTGGACAGCCTTAGTCCGCCCCGAAAAGGGGTCAGACGGTGTCTGCCAGAGTGTTCCACAAAGAGGGACCCCCCAGAATTGGCGTGTGCCGCCACTTAACCCCGTCACCCCGCAAACTGCCGAACGCTCGACCACCCAGCCAGCGGCGTGTGGCAGCCATTAACCACCCAGGCAGCTGCGGTTTGCGGTTAACCACAACGTAATTGATAAGCCTGGGGGCATCGACGTTCGCCTCTAAATACCGAACGGAATCCACCGAACTAACAACCGAATGACGACCCCCTACCGTGGGCCGCGTGGCGGTCCTTAACTTGTGGTTTCTGCGGTTAACCGCAGGTCAAGTACCCTGCTACCAGGTGGCCCCATTCCCTTACCGAACGAGCCCCACTACCAGACAAACAGCGGGACTTCGCATGAACTGATACCGAGTTTAGTTCCAGGAGTTAGACACGAAGTCCCGCTGCTCGCTAAATCAGCAGAAAACATGGCCGCCAACAAAGACTCACAATCTCAAAATGCCGAACGGACTTTATACAGCAGGAACAGTCCATTCTGTTCGTGAGATTAGAGCGCCATTCGCCTGTTTTATCTATACGAACGCGAGCCTTCAGATGAATGGTAGAATGAATGGTTTTCCTGTAATAATGTACAAGTTATGGATTTTTATGTAGTTTTCTGGGACATAAAACGTGGTCTTTTGTGCGCTTGGAGATAATTAGATTGTAAAACCGTTGGCCTCATTATCTCCAAGCTGGGCGGGTACTAATTCAAATGATACAGTGTACTGTGATTGGTTACCTGTTTGTACTGTACCTGTATTCCATCAGGTCCACAGGGGGCTGTCCTTGGACCTGAGGAATCACATAAATTGCCATGCTATGTGCCAGTAAAGCCAGTTCGTTTTTGACCCTCAACTTGCAGCCTCGACTCATGTTGTAGGGATCCGGGATATTGATGCTTATTTCGTGCTTGGGGATATTCTACACTTGCAGCTTGCTACCGAAAGACCTCCGTTCGACTCTCTACAGCGGGAACCAGGACATCCAAGCGATCAACCCTCCTGCTAGACCGGGGGCAATCGTAACACCATAAGACAGATCTGAACATTTTCTAACTTTGCTACTTGCTACATTAGCCTCCATTTTGTAAGGTAATTTGTAAGGAAAATCAATATTTTTTATAATCTGTAATATAAAATCTAGCTGTACAGTGAATCATTAAATTGGTCTTGAGACAGCATAAATTATTTCAATCTGATTTTACTTTGAATTGCATATAATGAATATCTGATATTTTCTGATGGCAAATAATTTGCTCAAATTTATTTATTTTAATGTTTCTAAATATATTCACCCCAAAGGAAAACTAAAATAAAGCTTTAAAATATGTTTCCTGAATATTACATCTTTTGAAAGACAGTAAGATTTGCAAACATCATTGGCAAAGTCAGATGTAAATCCATGAGAAAGAATTTTACAAGTAATCATAATAAAACAACAGACACTTAAAGTTATTTTTCATGAATTAAGCAAACATCAGTGACAGGACTCATTATGAGAACAAACTGACGGTAGTGACGAGGTGCTAGAACATTACGAGATCAGCTAAATGTGCTATACACATGGCACAGATGGGAGAGGATCCTGCACTCAATGATCTAATAAACCCACCTGTGTGATGTCATTAAATGGTTCTGACACATACATTTCTTGACTCAGAATAATCTAGAATCAGAAAAACACATCTTGGCTTGTTATTGGACAACTCCCATACTGCAAATTACATTAACTGTCTGATTACTTTTGCTTTGGATTGTACTGATATAAGCAATACTTCAGTATATGTTTTTTTTCATGTTATATAGCAATCACATTTATTGTATGTTACATTGTATTTGTAATCTCATAGATTAACTCTCCCTTTATTCTCTGAACACCTTACAAAAAACCCTTCATATAGCCCCTTACCCTACATCATTATCATCTATACAAACCAACCTGGAATAACCTTCCATTTATCCCCCCAATGTCATACAGCAGCCATGCAAAGATACCTAAAATCTAAATAATTCCATGTCCTGCCTTAATGATCACATTATATCTTCTCTAGACGTAGACTAAATAGATTTTAGATGAAATAGCACACAAGAAGTAGAGCATACCTCAAGTACTCAGGGGTGCAAAGACTACTTAATACAAGAGTCAGAACTTGGCCTTTTGGTAAGTGGTAATCGGTGACATATTTATGGATTAAGGCATGGGTCGTCAACCTGGTCCCTACCGCCCACTAGTGGGCGTTTCAGGATTCCAGGTGGGCGTTAGGGATTTCAGAGATTGGGTAGGCGGAAGGGAGGACGGGTGTGAGCCGGCGGTACCCGTGCGACCGGGTACCGCCGTCACCATTTTCGGCCCCGGCCCGCGTGGCAAAGGGCTGGGGCCGCCACCCAAGGGGTCCATCGGGTGGCCCATGCTGTCAGGGCCACCCGATGGATGTGGATTGAGAGGGGGCCCGGTCAGCGCTGGGCGCTTTAACAACGTGACCGGGCCCCCTATTATTACATCACACGCTGGGAGGAAGTGACTGCACATCACTCCTCCCAGCTAAAACTGAGAGCCGCGCGGGAGGAAGACCAGGGAGTCAGAGTGGGAACTCTGACTCCCATGCACCTGAGCCACCACTGGACCCCAGGGAAAGTCACCCTCCTGCACCTAAAAGGTAGGAAACAGAAGGGTGACAAAAATATTTTGTGTGTGTTTGTTTGTGTGTATGTGTCTATGTGTGTATGTCTTGTGTGTGTCTATGTATGTATGTATGTCTTGTGTGTGTGTGTGTCTATCTGTATGTATGTGTGTGTGTTTGTGTCTTGTGTCTGTCTGTATGTGTGTATGTGTACCTGTCTGTTTGTATGTATGTGTGTGTTTGTATGTATGTGTACCTTACTGTTTGTATGTATGTGTGTGTCTGTATGTATGTGTACCTTACTGTTTGTATGTATGTGTGTGTCTGTATGTATGTGTACCTGTCTGTTTGTATGTATGTGTGTATGTATGTGTGTGCGTGTGTCTGTATGTATGTGTGCGAGTCTGTATGTATGTGTCTTGTGTGTGTGTGTGTGTGTGTCTGTATGTGTGCCTGTCTGTTTTTCTGTATGTATATATGTATGTGTGCCTGTCTGTGTGTGTGTCTGTATGTGTGCCTGTCTGTGTGTGTGCCTGTCTGTGTGTGTCTGTATGTGTGCCTGTCTGTTTGTATGTATGTGTCTTTTTATGTGTGTGTGTGTATGTATGTGTGTCTGTCTGTTATAGTGGGCTATAGTAAGTGGGCTACCGAGCTAAGCCTTCCTACTGGGCATTGCTATAAGGAAGGTTACAAAATAGAAAAAAGGGATAAAAAAGGTGGGGAGGGGAATTGAGGAGGGAGATGAGATGAGCTGACGCACAGATGAGAAATCCTATTATGCGCAAACAGAGAAGTCGTCTGAATATCACCGAAGAGGAGACCTTCGTTTGTTCCTTACGAAAATCGAACCAGATATCAAATATTTAGTCTTGCAGCATCAGCCTCAAGGATCTCATTAATCACTAGTAAAGGTAATTTCAATTTACTTTATTGTTTTCCAATTAAAATTTATAAAGTTAAAAATATTATAAACATGCATTATGTAGAAATAAAAAGATAAATGTACGTACATTTTTTTTTTTTTTTAAAACACCCTCCTTTCTAAAAAATATTCCGCACTTGCGCGAAAACTGTTGGGCGGTAAGGAAATTTTTCCATCAAGAAAGATGCATTAGTGGGCGGTAGGTAGTAAAAGGTTGACTACAACTGGATTAAGGACTTGGAATCCCAGGCCCATATCTTGACATCACACTAAAGTTAAATACATTTAAATATGTTATACACAGAAAATACAAAATATTCATGGTGAAATTTTTTATTTTCAAAATATCATGCATGTATATGCTATTTTAATACAATGGTAATCTGTGAAGGTAAATGGGTCTGGATGAGTGAGAAAGTGACTGGGCGCATGGGGGTGCTATTAATATATGATAAGGAGATGAAATTTCTACAATATGAAAGAATGAAAGAAGGATAGAAAGAATGGTGGGTTTAGACACAGATTTTTTTTTTTTTTTACAGGAAACAGAGGGAAGCCGTAGGGATAAATTAAGAGAGGACAGCCACTCGGGCGTAATACTCTCATGGAAATGGGATAAAAGACAATACAATAAACAAAAAGGAATGTATCGCATGTTTGAGAAAGCCCAGAGAGGAGGGGCGACACGCGTCATGGACAAGAAACCGGGAAGTTTTTTCGAACTGTGGACATCGGCGGCACCAGCCGCATTCAGGTTCAACAGTTACAGTTGTTACAGTTCGTACAACCTTGCATGAACTCTAATCGTTTCCAAAGGCTGGTGAGCGGATTGTGGATTTTTATCCTCTGACCCTTGTATGTGTTTTTATTTATTTCCATAATAAAATTTACTTACCTGTTCCTGGTCACAAGTGCATCCATTGGATCCCACGCACTCTAGGGGCTGATCCTCCCTGGGTGATATAGTTTTGAGTGGTACTCTAACCACTCTCATCTTGTGAGTTGGATAGCTTCAGGTTATTTTATTTATTCATTTGTAACATTATTGCACTAGGATTTTTTCCTGTTTTTTTATCTCCTTCCCAAATACTCTATTTGTGGATTTAGAAGTTTGCAAGTATATTCACATGTCATACATGTTGGTTGTGTGTACCACTACACCAATTTTTTGTACCACTACACCATTGATTGCGGTTTTTAATACATGTAGACTGCACCTAGGTGTGGCAGGTGAGGTATTGTTATTTAAGAGAATCACCACAGTATGTTTTTAATTAATTTCTGTACAGGTTTTTATATGCCCACAAAAGGGTCTTTTTTAATACTGTGCAGCATCACTTTTATGTTTTATTTTTTTCTAAATATTACCAAAATTTTATGTTGATTGCTGCAATTGTTATAAATTAATTTATATATTTGACATCAGATTGTATATATATTTGCGCCATCTTATTTATATACTTGTATAATAAACAAAAAGGTGCAAAGTAGAAGGGTTTTTAACCAAATGAGGGAACATTTACTCTGCAGTGCAAAAATTAACACATGGCCCTTTTTTTTCCTACACAAAACACACATATATGCGTGGTCATACTCAAGTGAAGCATGAAATACTTGAGCTTGACTGGTGGAGTTGTAAAATCCCTTCATGGACCATCTGTATTACCTGGGCATCATGACAGAGCATTCAGAGATATCTATTTAGACACATTCTCTGTAGCCCATGACTCCATTGCCAATAGGTGTGTTTCATGATATGACTGTCTCATTAACCCTGCAGTCATCTCCAGGGACCTCATACATACTCATCCTAATATGGCAACTTGGTCAGCTACAAATGCGGAAGAACGCACGATTTCTGTCTGCTGCCTCATTCCTGGAGCACTGTGCTAATGGGTATCTCACCTCACTTTATAGTTACATAGATTGACAATGTGCTATTTTAATCTACAGAATAATGTTATGAAGCTACAGCCTACAACCAGGGATCTGGAAGTGGACAAACGCCCCCTGCCTCCTTGCTATCCCTTTCATGATTTCAAGGACCCATAAGTCCATCATTTTACAAAGAAGACAGGTTAAGGGTGACTTAAAATCACTCCATGCAATTAATGTATTAATGAATGTGTGCAATTCACAGATTTTACTATTACCATGACGTAAAGTCATGATTTTATTAATGACACGGAGGCGAGTATTTTGCTGCACTCTTTCTTTATTTCCCTCAGCAGCAAAGAAAAAAACTTTATAAACATAACCAATAATAACATTAACAGTCTCAGGTGTAATCTTCCTAGTAACAGGAACAGCCAATCAGGATCCACTTCTCCAGCATAATAGGCTCTGTCAACCAATCCTGTTCCTCTTTGTTTGCAATCCCGAAGAAGTAAAATTATCCAATAAAACGTTGAACTGCATAGAACATGGTATTCCCGGAATAGATGGGCAGATTATGCTGTAAAAGAGGAAAAATATGGTAATATCTTAGCATAAAACTTAGTGTATGCATAGTTATAGGTATTCAAGATAGTGTTTGGTCAGTGTTGTGTCCAAGTGAGTATTGTTGTGTAACCTATAAATGTGGGTGACCAGCTAGGTAAGCAGTGATCGTAACTAAAACTTACCTTGATCTAAGTATAACTATACTGTAACCATCTGGCGATTACAACTGTAACAACTAGACATGGTAAAATGACTTACCGTAGGTCAACTTACCCAACTTCCGTCTATCCTTCCCCCGTCGCCGGGTGGGAGGGATAATACTCGCCTCCGTGTCATTAATAAAATCATGACTTTACGTCATGGTAATAGTAAAATCTGTGAATTTTATTAAGACACGGAGGCTCCTATTATGCTGGTTGAAAGCTGAGAAACTACCGTTCCTGCAAAGTGGTGTATTGGTTTGAAGTAAAAGTCACGGAAGGTAGATTCTGAAGACCAGTCGGCTGCTTTCAGAATGTCTTCCAGGCGGCAACCCATCGAAGAGGCTTTGGAAGCCATTGCTCCTCGTATGGAATGTGGCGAAAATATGGAAGTGTCTATGCCTGCCGTAGCCATGATCCATTTGACCCAGCGAGCCAGGATCGTGGTAGACACAGGTAGGTGTGGTCTCTGGAAGGAGATGAAGAGTTCATGCCTAGACGGGTCCCGCAACGCCTTGGTGCGAAGTTCATAGGTTCGCAGACATTGAACCGGACACAAAAGAGGTTTGTCAGGAAAGGCTGGATATGTCACCTTCTTCGTAGAGGTTTTTGTTCTCCGAGATATATCGAAAGTGACCCCTTCTGGAGTGTAGGACCATGCGGTGACGTCTAAGGCTCTAACATCTGAGACCCGTTTGCAGGATATGAGACATAGGAGCATAACCAGTTTCGCCGACAGGTGTTTCAGAGATAGTGTTGCGTTATCTGGCCAAGATTCGAGGAAGTTGAGGATGATGGAGACGTCCCACAGTACGGAATAGCGTGGTAGCGGAGGTCTTGTGAATCTGATGCCGCGCAAGAGTCGGCATATCAGTGGATGGCGTCCTATCGGTGCGCCCTCGATGCCTTGGTGTGAGTTTGAAATGGCCGATCTGTAGAGGTTCACCGTGCGATATGCTTTGCTGCTTTCAAATAAGGAGGTTAAGAATTGCAGGATCGAAGTCAGAGGAGCTGATATGGGATCCAAATTCCGTTCCATGCACCAATCGTGCCATTTGCGCCAAGCAGATTTATAAGCTTGTCTCGTGCCGGGTGCCCATGCGCTCTCGAGAAGTTGGAGAGTCGATTCCGAAATTCCTTCGATTGAGTAAGGTTCCCGGAAATCAGCCACACCGTGAGGTGTAATAAGTCTTGCTGAATCAGGGGGTGGGGGGACCCGTCCGGGTCTCGAAGTAGGTAGTCGAAGTGTGGGAGAGTACGGGGTACGTCTATCGCCATCTCCAACAGGGAAGGAAACCATGGTTGAGACGGCCATAATGGCGCCACGAGCACTGCCGTTCCCGTCTGTCGCCGTAGTTGTAGCAGGCAGCGGGGAATCAACGCAAAGGGAGGAAACGCGTAGTTCCTTTTGGAGGACCAGTCCTGAGTAAAGGCATCTGTTGCCAGCGCTGCCGGGTCCGGTCTCCAGCTGAAAAATCTGGGGAGTTGGGTGTTCAAACGGGAAGCGAACAAGTCTATGTCCAGAGGACCCCATAGGGACTGGATGTCTTGGAAGACCCTGGGTTCCAGGTGCCAGTCGCTGGAATCCCTGAGGTGCCTTGAGTACCAATCCGCCGTGGTATTGTTGAGGCCCGGAATGTACTCTGCTGTGACCGAAATGCCGTGTGCCAGGCAAAGCTGCCAAAAGTCTCGTGCCAAATTTGCCAGGACCTTCGATTTCGTGCCGCCCAAGTGATTTATATAACGGACTGCCGATACATTGTCCATCCTTAAAAGGATGGCACATCGGGCTTGAGTTGGAGAAAAACTGCGGATTGCAAAAGAACCG